CTGCCCCGCTTCAGGAAAAAAAATCACCAGGCCTGCTAAAAGGCACGAAAAAAAAAAGTCTGAAGAGACAAAGCAAAAGCATCAAAATCAGCTCCAATAGGACAAAGGGGTGGGACTTACCAGCCAGAGAATTTTAAATAGCCATGATTATGAATTTAAAACTAATAAACGTATCAGATGGCAATGGTAAATTCTAATGCCTTAATGAAACAGCAGCTCTGCAGAGGTGACATCCCAAACACAAGTACAGATGTGATGTCACTGGTAAAGGGACAGAGGGGTGACAAGATGACCCCACAGGTAGCCCTGGACCTTGTCTGGTAGTGTCAATCTTTGATTCCGCCTTGCCTTTTGAACATTTCCTTCTTTTACACAAAGGGTAAAGCGTTACACCGAAAGGGCTTTCTAAGGAGGTAGCACACGTGGCATCTGTTCTGTAAACAATCTAGCCAATCAGAGGGCTCCCCTTTCCAGTGGCACTCTCTAGTAAGGAGCCATTTCTTTCCTTACTGCTATTTCAACTCTCACTGGTCTGCAGCTATCCAAACCGTGGTTCCTCAATTTCCACACCATTTGCACAAGGAACTGCAGGCACCACCAGCTCTTTTCTTTGTAATGCTTCTCTTTCATCTGCTGAAGTAGCTGGGTGTGGAACAGTCCCTACTTTACCATGTCTACAATTTGTGCTTGAGCAGTCAATCCCAGGTGGGGTTTCCCCAAACTGTTAAGTTCTCCACTACTTTTCTTTGAACAAAAGTCTATGCATGCGTAGCATTAAAATCTCATTTAAAAAAATGTATTTAGGGCTGGGCACGATGGCTCACACCTGTAATCCTAGCACTTAGGAGGCCAAAGTGAGTGGACTACTTGAGCTCAGGAGTTCAAGACCACTCTGAGCAAGAGTGGCTACTAAAAATAGAAAATATTTTTAAAATATTTTTTCTATTTCTGGAAAAATAGAAAATATTCTCTACTAAAAATAGAAAAATTAGCTGGGCATTGTGGCAGGTACCTGTAGTTCCAGCTACTTGGGAGAATGAGGCAGGAGGATTGCTAGAACCCAGGAGTTTAAGGTTGCTGTGAGCTATGATGCCATAGTACTCTAGCCTAACAGTGAGTCTCAAAAAAACAACAACAAAAAATATATATCTAAATACACACACACACATTTACACACATATATGCATTTGCTCATATTTATATTTAAGATTAAATATTTTTGCTACTCACTGTCTGAGATTCAGCTTTCTCCTGGAATTTCTTTCTTTCTTAAACGATTTCGTATTCTTGGTAACCTCTTGGCCTATACATTGACTTGGGGAGTTTACATTGTGAGCAAGACTAAGAAAAAAAGTCAACTAAATTACAATCTGATTCCTCAGGGTGGATTCTGTTATTATTTAACCATATCCTCAAGGTAAGCTTTACTTAGGGAAATAAGTCTTTTTCACAATGTTAGGATATTGTACCGCTTTAACAGCATTTTCTTTTGCTGCCCTCTTCTTGTGCATAATGTTAAGTTTCTCTTTTGAACTGGGCACATATTGGCAAGAGAATTCTAATCAATTCCCCCATGCCAGGGCTCCAGGAACCTCTCAGCTCCCTGATGTATTTGCATAAAATGCTATGTCTGAATTACTGCACTGTGCTGTGTGGACCTGTGTGACCCCGAGGATGAGGTCCCCTTGAGTTATGTGCCCAGTCACCTTGCTCACCTTACCACAGTCCCAGCCCCGGCAAAGGAGGCTGTTCCCCAACCCCCAACCCTGAGCGCCTCAGTCCTCAGTGGACTGTCATCAGAATGCTCACTGCTGTCTGTCCTCCCGACCATGTCTACTTGCCATCAGTCACACCTTCACTGTTCTCTTATTGTCTCTTTAGTCTATCTGTTCCACTCTCTCTTTACAGTGTGGGGAAGAGGAGGTTTCAAGTAAAGAAAAACCTAAAAAACCCCTAAAAAACTCATAGGTGATAGTCATTACTCAGGTAGGCTCAGGGGCCCTCAGCTGTGTTTATTATTATCCAGAAGCTTCACTTGACTGGTGTTCTGCAGGAGGCCACACAGAGGTCTCGCTGTCCTAGAAGGTAGAGGTTTCTGAAGTGTGCAACTTGCACCACTCAGGCTGGATGCCACGCACAGTAAGAGCAGCTCTACACACTGACAACAAGGCACCTGCAGATGTTACGAGGCCACTGACCTGCTCTGGCTTTACGCAGAGTGTACCAGAATGTTTACAGTTTTATTATAGTTTTACAGAAATTTTTCCAAAAAGCTAGAGTAGGTTTTAAATTCCAGGATTATGATTATCTTTTTGGGGGGGTTTCTTTTGCAGTTTCTTCTATTTTAAATAATCTGCTTCTTGTCAAAACTGAGGGCCTAAACAAGGACCTCCAAATGACACCTCTGTTGTCCTTACACCCCAGAGTCTGAGTTCTCAGGTTATAAGGACACAGCTTGGTGCCTGGAGCTGTGGTGCTCAGGGAACTGGGGGCAGGAAAGAGTTGGCAGATTTGACCTAGTGCTCCCTGAACTGCCCAATCTTCTTTCAAGCTGGCTTTCAGGACCCCGAGGGCACCAAATAGCAGCAGCTACAGGGGCTCCTTCAGCCCATGTCATTCGCTAGGAAAAGACAACCTATTAGACCTGAAGAAAAGCACAGGCGAAACAGAAACAGCTCTGGAGCATCCAGGAATAATGAACTATGTTGAGGCACCTGAAATCAAAGCACAGTCGCAGTCCTTAGAAGTCAGAGGCCCTGCATGTTGGAAAGCATTCCAAGTTTCCTCACTCCCCATGCCTGTGGTATGCAGTCAGCCCACCAACCAGCGCTTACTGAGCAACTACTGGGTACTTGGCTCTGCTCCCAGGGCAGTGGAGACGTCAAGTACAAACACAGGCAGTAGTCCCTGTCCATGATTCTGTTTGCCTCTAACTTTAAGGTACATGTGAGTCTTTAACTCAATATACTTGCTGTCCACAGCACTGCTTGGAGGAACTCAGCAGCTGTGAGGGCTCGGGGACACAAGCTCCTACCCACCACCTGGCTGCATGCCTCTGTGTGCAGTCTCTCCACGGCAGTCCACGGGTGGAAAACAGGAGGCTTGAGTAGAACACCACCCTAAGGGATTCACTCTGTTGGTAGCAAGCCAGTTCTCGGGGCTCATCCACCCTCGCTTTATTAATTACATATTTTATTTTGAGAAACACTTACATAGCACTTAAAATGTACTGGGCCCTGTCCTAAGTGCATTATAAATATTAACTCATTTCATCCTCACAACAACCCTATAAGATATCATCCTAATTTGAAGATGAGGACACTCAGCCACACAGAGGTTAGGTAACCTGCCCAAGGTCACTACTAACATGTAACTCAAACTCTTGCAGTCCAGATCTAGCGCATGTCATTAACTATTGAGCAAAATATTTAACAAAAGGGGCTGAGGTATTTATGTGACCACATAACATACCTTCCTGAGCGCAGCCACACTTACTTAACCAAAGAGTCTCTGGTGTAGAAGCTAAAAGAACAACCACATAGAAATACGAGGTGACTAGCCACCATAGTTAACATGTATATAGTTATCTCCTGTCTTTGGCTATTTCTGTGTGTCTCAAAAGCTTTCAGCAGGCAACTACCTACCAATCAGCTCAAAATACCTCTCTCAAGGCAGGTAGATCTGTGCTGACCAACACAGGAGCCACTAGGCATTTATGGCCATTTAAATTTAAATTACAATGAAGTAATGTTACAACTTCAGTTCCTCAGTGAAATCAGCCACATAACAAGTGCTCAACAGCCATGGGGGACTAGCGGCTACCACACTGGATGGCACAGGGAGAGACCATTTCCATCATCATAGAAAGTCCTACTGGCCAGCAACTGAGTCAGACTCTGACTGTGACTTCTTTTTACCTGTTAGTCTGAATACACTTATGGTAATAATTTGATCTTTTCTCCCATTACGAATACACACATTCATATTACATTTCACTTCTTCATAAAGCAAATTTTTACTTCAAAGTTCAGTCCCAAGAGGTATACTGGATTATATATAAGCAGGTCAAGTAAACCTCTGGTCCCCCAATACCTGGTACCAGAATGTATTCTTCTCTAATAATCAATGGCTGAATGTTTAAAATCAGTGAGGAAAAAGGAGTTCATTAAAAAGTGCAGCAGAAAGCAAAGACTGTAGCTTTGTGTTGGACATTAAACTCGGGACACACATTCAATGGGTCACAAGGAAACATGACAAGAGAGGGTGGCTAAGTCCATGCAAACTAATACCCCTATCAGAAAACAGCTCAGACATGTGTGCTACTACAGAAAGTGGGTCAGACACTTCCAGCCTTTGAAAAAAAGCACCCACACAAAAACAGGTCAAATACAATGGAAGCCATGTGGCCTAAGCACAATGCTGCCAAATTTCCCACTGCTAGCAAATATTTCCTTACAACAATTTTTAGCATCCTTAACCTCCATATCTAAATAAATAGTACCACTGTTGCATTTCACGTGGGTTCATGTAAAGCAGAAAAGCCACAAGTACAAAGTGAACAACTTAGCAATAGAGCACAAATTTTAGGACTTTTTCATAGCTAAAGAATCTAAAATCCAAATGTTTCCTTCTAATTTCTCAAGCTGAAATCCATGGAGGCCTAGAAAGACTACCCTTGTGAACAGTAGGAACTGTCTTATTTTAACACAGATCTTTGTTCATTTTAAAAATTCTCTTTTTTCTGTCCTTTTCTCCATTTCTTCTCTCACCCTTTTTGTCTATCCCACTACTTTTAGTAACACAATTAAATTTTTATGAAATTGTATGATAAAGTGGAACATGTTTTTTAAAAATTTCAGATGAATGAGGCATCACTTACCAAGCAGGGCTAATAAGAATGATTAATGTCTAGTCATCTTAAGTTATAAAAATTTTGTAAGCTCCTCATAAGATGCACATTAAAAAAAGGATACAAAAACAGTAATAATTACATTACATACTTGTGACTTCTTGTAAGAAATCCAAACACGGTCGACTACTTCCAGAAATACTTATTGAAACAGCCAGTGGGGTCTGTCCTTCATAGTTCCTTGTGTTTGTGTCCGCTCCATAATTGTATAACATCCGTGCACAGAGCACATCATCCCTAAGGGCAGACAAGTGTAAAGGAGTCTGTCCATCTTCTAAGCGGCCCAAGTTTGTGTCTGCCCCTCTCTGAAGGAACATTCGGCAATAAGAGTGATTACTTTTGATCACAGCATATCGCAACAGGAAGCCATTCTGAATGTCAATGTTGGCATTGTGGTCCAGGAGGATTTTCACACAGCTTGATCTCTCTCGGATAATGGCGAGCTGAAGCGGTGTTGTACCTTTATCACTGAGCGGGTCGACCTCAGCCTTGAACTCCAGTAGAAGTCGGACAAATGAGTCCCTGCCATAGTGGGCAGCCACATGGAGGGGAGTCCAACCATCATTGCTTTTTGCATTAATGATGTCGCTCCGGTATTCAGATTCTAACATCAAGCGTGCAATCCGGGCCCGCCCATGCATGGCTGCGTAATGAAGAGCTGTGAAGCCTCCGATTAAATCCTTAACTGTGGGATCAGCTAGAGTTAAAACCAAAATGAAAGTATTAGCAGATTCTAAGACAAAACAACAAGCACTTACCAAGGCACCAGACATTTTAGCCAATTTGCATATAAAACCTGAAACAATCAAACATTCTGATAAACATCATGTACCTGTCCCACAGTTTCATTCAAGCTCTCAAGTCTAGTTTGAATAGGAAATAAATTCAGTAGAAAGTTATCCAGTTATCAGAAGAAAATAAAGACAAAAAGCATGGAGTTCAGACCACCACATCCCCTTCCTTGTTAACTCAACCAACTGCCTTTGGCTACTCAACTACCCCATCTCAGTGCTGTTTCGTATTTCTTTTGTCTTGAACTTTTTCTTTTATTTTCTCTTGTGCTTCTTTTTGGTCTTAAAAAGAAGCATGTGCAGCAACATAACGCTGCTCTAAATTACAAATGTACTATAGTCTGGTAGACTCTGTTGTTTTACAGTGTATTAAGCGAAAAAAAAAAAGAAAAGGAAAGAAAAAGTTCTTCTGTGGTCTGTGCAAATTCCAAAGCATGTAAGATATATGGTAAGTGATCTTGATAAAGTGTATTTTCATAAGATAAAAGTCCATTCTGGCTCGGTGCCTGTGGCTCAAGTAGCTAAGGCGCCAGCCACATACACCTAAGGTAGCAGGTTCAAATCCAGCCTGGGCCCACCAAACAATGATGATGGCTGCAACCAAAAAATAGCCGGGCATTGTGGCGGGCGCCTGTGGTCCCAGCTACTTGGGAGCCTGAGGCAGGAGACTCCTTGAGCCCAGGAGTTGGAGGTTGCTGTGAGCTGTGATGCCACAGCACTCTACCCAGGGGGATAGCTTGAGGCTCTGTCTCAAAAAAAAAAAGAAAGTCCATTCTGAATTCTTAGTTTTATGTGAACTTTGTGGAGTTTATAAAATTTAAGCAGCAAGTTATATAAAAAGTTGGGAGAAACCTCAGCAGTATATAAATATTATTTTCTAAAACAGTTTGAAAAACCTCTCCTAAATTGACTGATCTCTGAGGAAGAAAAAAAATGATAATTTATCTGCTATGTGACCACTCAAGTCACAGACTTGGCACTGGCCTCGGCCCTTTCATTAAGCCAAAGATCAGTTCTTTGCAGGGGTCACCCACTGGCATCCATGGGTAAGGGGCAAAACAGGGACAAGAAGTACATATGCAAACCACCTCTTGGATCAATTCCATGGGGAAGATAAAGTGATCAGCCCTAACTACCTAAGATCAAAATGCATTCTGCCCTTAATTTTTAGTTTATTAATAAAAGAGAAAAAATTAATGTTTTTCACACACACACACACAGACAGCCTCCTAAAATACTCATGTATTGTTCAGCAAAATGTTACTTAGGTCTAGAACATATAATGAAAGCTGGCTTCCCTTAGAAAGACCTGTGAGGCAGAAAACTGTATGTAAAACAATAATACTATGGAGAGTATTTCCGTTAAAAAGGAGTTGCTAACAAAACCTATAAAAAGTAACTTTTTAAAGGTAAGCTGTATCATTTGAATTTCTAAAAACATTTAATGTAAAGAGACAATACACAATGGCAGCATTAATTTGATCTATTTGCAAATTCTATTTGGCTATAAAGGTATCATGTCTTGGCTAAAAAAATAAAATGTCTCATAAAAAACCTGTTTATTATGTGACTTAGAAAAGTCAAGAACCAGTATAACAAAGCATTTTGCTGCCATCTACTGGTAAGAAATGCACATGAGCTACTAAGGTTTCCATTTTGACAGGTGGTGAGTCCTGAAATCACTTAAATCTGTTTTCCTTACCTAAAGCTAAGTGAAAATGGGCGTGAAATCTAAAAGATAACCTCCTGTTCAAATGAAACAATAAATATTATCAACGGTCATTTCTAATCTACACCTGGCCAATCACCTATCTGCAGATAGTCCTTCTTAATTTGTGACTGAATTTTAAGAATACCTTTTTCACTTCTCCCACCGTTCATCCACCAAGGATGCCTTTAAAGGTCCCAGCCAACATCCTTATTTGGCAAAATTAAAATTATGTTATATAAAATTCCTTTTGCATCTTTGGTTTCCACTTTAGGTCTAAGATTCTACTTACATTTTGGTGCCATACTTAGCTAGGGAAAAACAGATTAACACACAATGATCTGCTTAGTCTCAGTAAAAAGCACTCAAGTGAATTAAATGAGCACACACTGGGAACATGGTACAGAATTAAGAACTACAGGATAACGGTGCATAAAATGTGTGTAGTTATTATTCTCAAAGAATTAACAAAATGGGAGATTATAAGGCAATGAAAATAGAAACAAAGCTTAATTTAAGGATTATTGTTAGCCAATGCAATAAGACAAGAAAAAGATCTCATTTGTAATAATAACAGAAACTACAAAATGCCTAGATAAAAAAAAAAAAATTCAGTAAGAAATATGTGAGGCACAGGCAAAGAAAAACTCACTTCATCTGTTGTTCAAATGTCCCTTCATCAAACTTCACCCAAAATAGCAAATCTAAAACTTACTACTTTGTCCAATTAGCAAACCTTTTTCCCCCAGGAGGGACTTATTTCATACAAGGTGTAGCATAATCTCAAGAAACTAATCTAAAATTAATGAAAAAATTTAAAATATATATTAATAAAAGCAAAGAAATATTCTCTATAAATATAGTTGTCTTTTTTCCAACAGGTTTATTGATGTAAAATAAAACTTCACTCATTTTAAGAGTGCAGATTGATAAGTTTTGATAATTACATATAATTGTAACCCACTGCCATGATTAAAATATAGAACATCATCATCTCAGAAAGTTCCTTTATCCCCCTTCACAGTCAATTCCCTGCCCAGACTCTGGGCCCTTAGCAAACCACTCACCAGTCAACGAAAATAAAGTTTTGCCTTTTCAGGAAACTCATACAAATGTTACATTATGTATGACTTTTGTGTTTGACTTGTTTCACTGAGCATGATGATTTTGGAATACTTCCATGTTGTGTATCAATAGTTCATTCTTCTGTATTGCTGAATGGTAGTCCATAATATAGATCTTTGATTTTTTAATCCATTCATAAATAGATGGGCATTTGAGTTACTCTGAATTTGAGGCCATGTGAGTAATGCTACCATGAACAACCATAGACAAGTATGTGGGGATGCATATTTTCATCTCACCTGGGTTTAATATTTGGGAGAGAACTGTATGGTCTTAAGAGGCTTGCCTATTAAGTTCTTGAACTCATCCTAGAAAAAGTGCTTTGAAGGGTGGACTAGACTCTGGCACAGATGCATAGCTTCCCAAGGGTGACCATGGTGATATTCAGCAATGAGGTATATACACTTTTTTCTAGGATGAATTCATGAACTTAATTATCCAACCTCATATGCACAATAAACTTTCTGAGAAACTGCCAAATTACTAGTTTGTAAGTGGAGATAGTATTTTACATTCTCACCAGCCAGGTATGAAAGTTCTAATTGTTCTATATCTTGGCATCATCAGTAATTTTAATTTTACCCATTCTAGAGAGGGTAAAATACTGGCTTATTGTGCTTTTAAGTTACATTTCCCTAAGAACTAGTAATATTTGGCATAGTCTTGTACTTTCTTTTGTGAATAGTCTGTTCATATCCTTTAGCCATTCTTATTGGTTGTCTCCTCATTAATTAGAATTTTTTATATATTCTGGATTCAAGCCCTTTATCAGAGGTTTTGTAAATATTTTCTCTTAGTTTTGTTGCTGGCCTTTTCATTTTATACACTGTATTCTGAAGGGCAAATTTTTAATTTTCATTAAGTCCATTATCATCTTTTACTTTTACAGTTTGTGGGTTTTATATACTATTCTAAGAAATCTTTGCCCAACACAATGTCACAAAAATTCTCCATTTTCTTCTAGGAATTTGGACTTTTTATTAATAACTCTTCAGTTCAGGTCAATAATCCACTCCCAGTTAATTTTGTGTATGGTATAATGTAAGGTCGAAGCTCATTATCTTCCATGTATATATTTGTTCCAGCAAATGTTATTAAAAAGACTATTTTTTCCCCCAATGATTTACCCTGCTGCCACTGCTGAAAATCAATTTACCATAAAAGTTCAGGTCTATTTCTGAACTCTTGTTTTGTTCTATTGATCTTAGTCTCACTATACACCAAAACCAGACTGTCTGGACTACTTCAGCTTTGTAAGTTTTGATAGCGATAGTAGTACAAGTTTTTCAGTCTTCTTTAAAATAATTTTGACTCAAGAATTTTAAGATTAGCTGGGTGGCACCTGTGGCTCAGTTGGTAGGGTGCTGGCCCCATATACCGAGAGTGGCAGGTTCAAACCTGGCCTCAGCCAAACTGCAACAACAACAACAACAACAACAACAAAACCCAGGCATTGTGGCAGGTGCCTGAGATTCCAGCTACTTGGGAGGCTGAGGCAAGAGAATTGCCTAAGCCCAGGAGTTGGAAGTTGCTGTGAGCTGTGACACTACAGTACTCTACTGAGGGAGATAAAGTAAGACTCTATCTCTTCTAAAAAAAAAAAAAATTAAGATTAGCTTGTCAATCGCTTTAAACAAGTGTACTGAAATTTTTAGTGAAACTCTACTAACTTGGCAATCTCCCCCAAATGACCTAAACAATATTAATTCCTCCAAGCCATGAACATGGAATATTTCTCCATCTATTTAGGTCTTCTTTAGTTCCCCTCAGCAATGTGTTGTGGATAGGTCATGCACATCTCTCACTAAACTTACTCTTAAATATCTTAAATTTCATTGCTATTATAATGAGTTAAAAATCTCATTTTCCAAGTATTAGTTGCTGGTAAAAAGAAAGAAAACTGATTCCTGTACATTGACCTGTGTGTCATTTTTGTAGCTTTCTGGTAATTTCCTACATGCATGATTTTGTTCTCTATAAATAGAGAAAATTTTACCTTTTCCTTTCTCTACAAATAGACAATTTTACCTTTTCCTTTCTAATTCATGACTTTTAACTACTGTTCTTCCCTTA